TATAGGTTATGGTCAGGACAATGAGTCTTGGAAGTTTGTGGGGCCGAAGGAAGGGTGAACAAGTAATAACCAGCCCTCACACACACCGCAAGTCTGGCTTCAAGGTATCTGGGTGGATAGAAAACCTCAAGCCCTAAGATGGGGTTCAGATAATGCTGAGTAGGAAGTTTCCCTGGTGCGGGCAAGAAGTAAACAAAATACTCCCTGGAGAAAGCCGGTATCATTCAAGACCTAAAATAATTTCTAAAAATAACTTTACAAAAAATATATCTAATATTCAACCAGGACAACATACTATAATGCCTTAAGAACTCCCAGGATGTAAAAACACACTTTAAGAGGGAAACAGAAAGACTGCAGTTTGAGTTTGTAAATTATCATTACCTGGTAGAAGAAATAAGCAAGCCTCTTAAGCAAATTTAGCATATGCAAATCCAGGTTTACAAAAGGGATACATTGTGGGGTAATTGACAAGAGGATTCATTCTAGTATTCCGAACGTGGTGTATAGAAAAATGAATTTATACTCCGTTTTCTAGGAATATGGTCCATCAAACAACTGGGTACCCACGATTTAGAGACATCATAAAGGGGATGTGATAACCAATATAGGAAGTATTAGTTGTGGCTACCTGTAAGAGAAAACTCCCCAAATAATAGTGATTAAGTAAGATGGAAGTTTATTTCTCTTTCACATAAAAGCAGCGCAGAGCTAGACCTTCCAGGGTCACACCTCCGCAGCTCCAAAATGTCAGGAGACTATGGCACCCATCTTCTGCTCCACTGTTTTCACAGACCTCTCTTCAAGGTCCATGAATGCATATTCCATGATGGCTGCTGGAGTCCAGTCATCCCATTATGTTGCAAGTCAGCTTCCTTTATAAGCATCCTTCTTATATCACATAACACTTATTACATACCATAGGACAGAGTCAAGTCACATGGCCACCCCTGGCTGCAAGGGAAGCTGAGAAATCTAATCCCTTTGTGTAGGGCAGAATGTGTCCATTTCAAAGTGAGGGTTTATTACTAAGGAGAAAAGAAAAAATGGATGCTGCCCTGGGTAGCTAGTGGTCTCTATCACAGTGAAATAAGGGATTGATAACTTTAAAAGGAAGTATGCTTTTATAGAACATTAAAAATACACAGAGGGGCATCTGGCTGGCTCAGTTGGTAGAGCATGTGACTCTTGATCTTGGGGTCATGAGTTCAAGCCCCACATTGGGCCTAGAGATTATTTATAAATAAACAAACAAATAAATATCTTTAAAAATATATAGAGGTGATATACAATGAAACTGAAACACAGTTTATTAGAAGCAATGAAACTGATACAATACTTTCAAATAATTTAGGATGTTTATGGAATTTAAAATGTTCATATTGGGGGCGCCTGGGTGGCTCAGTGGGTTAAGCCTCTGCCTTCGGTTCAGGTCATGATTTCAGGGACCTGGGCTCTAGCCCCACATTGGGCTCTCTGCTCAGCAGGGAGCCTGCTTCCTCCTCTCTCTCTACCTGCTGCTCTACCTACTTGTGATCTCTGTCAAATAAATAAATAAAATCTTAAAAAAAAAAAATGAGGGGTGCCTGGGTGGCTCAGTGGGTTAAGCCGCTGCCTTCGGCTCAGGTCATGATCTCAGGGTTCTGGGATCAAGTCTCGCATGGGGCTCTCTGCTCAGCAGGGAGCCTGCTTCCCTCTCTCTCTCTCTCTCTCTCTGCCTGCCTCTGTCTACTGTGATCTCTCTCTGTTAAATAAATAAATAAAATCTTAAAAAAAAATAAAAAAAATATAAAATGTCCATATTGCCCTTTGGCACAGCAATCCCACTCATGGAAATTTACCTAAAGGAAAAAGAAAACACACAAACAACTGAGATGTTAGTAGAATGTTACTTAAAATAGGGCAGTATCTGGACTAACATAACTGTTCAGCACTGGGGGCAGTGAGGTAAATTATAGTTCATTAATTCAATGGATGAATATAGGGTAATGAAAAGCAGTAACTCAAAGATTATAACAACATGGGCTAGATATTTAATACATAAAATAATAAAGAGGGGGTGCCTAGGTGGCTCAGTGGGTTAAGTGTCTAACTCCTGATTTTGTTTCAGGTCATGATTTTGGGATCCTGGGATAGAGCTCTGAGTCAGGCCCCAAGCTCTGCTTGTCCCTATGCTCCTGCTCTCTCTCGAATATATTTCAAAAATCTTTTAAAAAATAATAAAGCTACAAATTTGTAATCACAATTTGGTTTTGAATATTTCTATGAGTAAGACTCAAATGGAAATTAGGAAATTGAGAAAGCTGACTTGTAGGCAGAGAATTATAGATGCTTCTCTATTGTTTTTATATTTAGATAATATTGTTCAATTTTTTGAAAAATTTCATATCCTAATGTATTCATAAATACATAAAAATAAAAGATAACTGCATATATTTTAAGGCCCTTCCTTCTGAAATTCTGTAGTTCTGGAATCCAAAGAGTGAGACAGTTCCTCACAACAGTTAGGGTTACAGGCTTTTGAACCACATAGACCTGGATTCAAACTCTGCGTCTTCATTTATTCATTTATGAACCTTATTTCCTCAGCCATAAAAAGGAGATGATACCTAAGCACTGCCATGAACTTTATTTGGATTAGGAAGCATACTGCCTTTAAGTAAATGGTGGGCACCAAAGAAGAATGCCTCATCTTCAAAAGGGCAGCCCAACCAGACCCTTATGTTGAGTCAGTGTGGCTTTGACAGAGAAAATCAGGAACTAATTCAAGGGGGGAAGCACAACATAATTGTATGTCAAAGAGGCATATTTTGAAGTGACATATTCAGGTTTCCTTCACGGGTAAGGTTGTTTTCTAGGACTTCTGCTTTTCTTACCATCATGAACTTTACTCCACAGAGAGGACATTATGTGATCTATGGTATGGAAGGCTTTTAGGAGGGAAAGCATTATGCTTCTCAGTGCTGCTTCACCCCATATGTAGTATACATGGTTAGTTACAGTTATAGAACTATTTTAGTTTTTTAAAAATTTATGTATTTATTTGACAGAGATACAGAGAGAGAGGGAACACAGGCAGGGGGAATGGGAGAGGAAGAAGCAGGCTTCCCGCCGAGCACACAGCCAGATATGGGGCTCGAGATGAGGCTCAATCCTAGGACCCTGAGATCATGACCTGAGCCCAAAGCAGACATTTAACGACTGAGCCACCCAGCCACCCTATAGAACTATTTTAAATACATACATGTGTACAAACTTATTTTAAACAACGAAATACCTATTACCATTATAGCCAGACAACTCCCTATTGTGTTTGTGTTAACAGTTATAAGCCAATTGGGTTGCTTAAGGGAATTACATAAGCAACAAAAGGATATGGTGATCAGGTGAGCTCCATTCGATGTTATAATTTCTCTGCTTGGGAAGGTTTTTAAAAACAGACGAATCAGCAGAAGGAAAAAATCAAGAAGGGCATAGGGAAAGGGAAGGAAGACCAGGGAAAAGAGTGGTTTTCAGAATGCAGAAACCAAGGTACAGATGTAAGGTGGATCACCATGGATGACAGCTCTTCTCATTTTTTAAAACCCTTAATATAAAGCCTCTGTTGTATTCCCTATGGAGGTCAGTTGCCACCCCCCACCCTGGTCATAATGATCTATTTGAAATACATATCTGTCCATATTCCTATAATTTCCTCACTACCAAAAAACAAAAATAAAAAAAAAAGTGAACTGAAAAAAATTACCAGGGCTCCTGTTGGGACATGTCCTCGTTGCCCACCTCTCTATTCTCTACCTTACACTTGAGTGATTTTTCTTGTTCCAGAAACCAAGCAACTCCAGGGTCTGTGCATTTTCTCCTGCTTTTTCCTTGGCCTGGAATACTTGTCTCCCCTTTCTTTGCCTGGTTAGCAATCATTTACTTTCAAAATCTCAAATATCATCTGTCAGGAAAACTTCCTTGATCCTTTTCCTGAGCACTGCCCGCCTGCCAACACTTTCACTTTTTAAATTTCTATCTAATATTCCATATAATTTTATTTAATTTTGATATGCCAGTCTTCTGGCCCCATGGTACTATTTAATCTTTGTATCCTGTCCCCTAGCAGGGTTTGCCCACATTCGGTCACCGATGACCCAGTGACTTCCAACACATACCTTGGGCTCAGAATCTATAACCCATCCCTCAAACTCACCATACTCACAAGCGCCTCCAGAACACAAATCCTTTTTGCTGCGTTTGAAATGTATGAGGTTACCGTTACTCATCTTACGTCACAGTTTCCAGCATGGGCGAACCCTCATCCCTGAGAGGAGAAAGGGAAATCTAATTTCTAGGAAATAACTCGAGGTCTGCTCTAGTGAAAAGCAGAACTATGAGGCACAAAGGGCCACTGGGCTGGGCTGCAACTCAGTCCCATCTCGACTCCCACCGGCTCCTACACACAGTAGGTTTTCTCGTGGGCACCATCGAGGTGGGTGCCCCGTCCGTGGCCCATGAGTTGGCGAACGTCACCATACACTTCTGTCCGGATCCGTGCAGCAGCAGCGGGATGGGCTGGATGTCGCCACGCCGTGGCCACACTCTCAATCCGCGACGGGCAGCCGGTGGGACCACGGAAGGGAAACCCCCCGGGGTTCGAGGCCCCATACCCCGGAAACCCACAGGGAAGGAGGGCCCGGGAAGAGCTGTTCGTTTCTCCGGAGTTGCGCAAGAGCCGGGGCGGCAGGGCAGGCTGGGACAGCCCCCGGGCACCCCCGCCCGCCGGTGCAGACCCCTGCCGAGTCCGAACCAAAAGCGAAAGGAGCCAGGCGCCGCGTCCCCTCCGCTCCCACTTCGCGTCCGCGGGGAGGTTGCCGCCCGCCTCCAAGCCCGCGGGCCCGCCGCTTTGTGACTTCACTGGTTTCGCAACAAGCCCGGGCGGCCCGCGCCCCACCCACCCCCGGCCGCCAGCCCGCCTGCCTGCCTCGCCTCCCGCCGCCTCGCTCCGCTCTCCGCGCTTCCTTCGGTCCAGGGCCGGGCCTGCCCAGCCGTCGCGGAGCCTCCGGTCCGGCCGCCGCCTGCGGGCCAGCACGTGCGCGACTCCCGCGCCCCGCGCCCCGCGTCCCGCGTCCGGCCCCGCAGAGCGTAGCGCCCTCCCGGCGGCCGCGCGATGCTGTGCTTCCTGAGGGGAATGGCCTTCGTGCCCTTCCTCCTGGTGACCTGGTCGTCCGCCGCCTTCATCATCTCCTACGTGGTCGCGGTGCTCTCTGGGCATGTCAACCCCTTCCTCCCCTACATCAGGTGAGGCCCGGCCCCGGCAGAGGGGCCTGGGGGCAGAGCTGCCCGCGGGGAGGGAAGGGCCCAGACCCGGTGGCGGGGCTTGTCTTGCAGGGAGAGTCACATTGACGACGAGGGGAGCGCTCTCCCGCCTGCCAGGACCCATAGGGAGGCAGCGGGTGCAGAGCCAAGAGGGGTTCTGACTTCACCCTGAGCATTGAACACTGAACCCAGTGCCAGCGGGAGGGGCTCAGGATAGACAGTAGAACTTCTGACGGACCGTGGGTCAGAATCCTTGGAAGATGCTTCTTGGGCGGTACTGAAAGAAGAATGGGACCTGATGGATGCCATTTTTTGAGTGTGTAAGAGGCAGATCCTGGTGTATGCTAAAGCCGCTCACATACTTCGCTTCCACTTCCCAACATCCTCGTGATGGATGTCCGGCTTATTTTTCATGCAAGGAAACGAAGTATGAGGAGTCGTTGAAATTTCATCAGTGTGACACTGATGTCACAGATAATAATGGTGGAAGCAGAATTCACACCCAGATCCATCCAACCCAAAAGGACACTGTGTCACCTCCAGGTCTTTGGGAGTTAAGCTTAAGCTCTTCTGGAGGGAGCTTCCCAGGATCCCTTTGGGTACGGTGCCTGCAAAGTCAGAGCCCTCAAATTGTCAGTAACTTATGATATATCTTGCGTTGTCATTACACCATTTCTTTTTTCATAAATTTTGGCCTCACCGTTCCTGAGGGGTCACTTCATCGGTGCCCAGGAGGTCTCAGTCCTTTTCAAATGGCTTCCAGCTCAGTGACTAGCCCCATGGCAACGGGTTTTCCTTAACCATTGGAACCATCCATCCTTATCCAAGTGCTGTGACCTGCACTGGTTGGTGAGGAAATAATAAAGTTGGTGACAACCAAGGTTTTGTTACCACTTTATGATTATAGAGATTGTAGGGCTTCTCCGTCCTGCAGCCATGCTGAGTGGTGAGCAATGTCCTGTAGTTTGTGGGCAGGGAAGGGGAAAGGAAGCTGAGGCAAGAAGAGACTAGAGTTTGAAGCAAGGAAGAGAGCAGTGCGAAGAACGCAGAGAACCAGTTAATGGCAGTGTTGGCTTTGCCCCACTCAAGAGTTGTTCCAGGCATCACGGAGACTTTCCCATCAGACCTCGTGCCCTGCCGAAACCTGGACTTGGTTTCTAGTGGCTCACCTCAGTCTGACATGGGGTTGTCTCGCTTCTTTTGATTCTGAAGCTAATAGATCCTCTTAGATTTGTATAAAAGGGAGAAATTTCTTTCCCTACAATGCTTTTTATTGAGAAAATAATAGCTGTCCCAGATCTAAAGGTCAGGAACACACGATATTTGATACTCATTGGTAGCGGGAGAGGGTAGAAAGTGTCAGAGACAGGAGGGCTTGAATTTTTGTGGAGAGGTCTGATATAGTTGTGATTAATAGCACCACAGGGCGAACTTGAAATGGAAGACACTCAGAAATGGGGAAATGAGCTGAGATGAACCACTGGTGAGATGCTCAAATCACAGAGTCCAAAGAATAGGTATTAAATTTAACAAGGAAAGGAAGCCTTTAGGAAAAGCAGAAGTTAAGGAGAAAAAGGCTGGAGATTGTCACCGCCTTGCCAGGAGCCAGCAGCCTATAAACAACACATGTTTTGCTTGCCCACATGTGCTGGGGACTTTTAGGTTGTTTGCTCTCTCTGCCTACTTGAGGAGCTGGAGGATTCCACTGTCTCCGCCCCACCTAGAAAACCAAGTCACTGAAGCAAAGGCAAGATTTAGATTAAGAACAAGATACCAGGAAGTTATGGTAGTAATGCAAGATTTATCCGTTTGGCCCCAGAAATGTTTGACCTTATCTCCTATAACTCATGTCTGTTGTCATGGCCATAACTCATGTCTGTTGTCATGGCCTCCCCTTCTCCCTTAACACCACTCCCTCTACTTTCCTCTGACTGCACTGGCCTCCTTCCTGTGTCTTGAGCCTGTCAGAAACACTACCTCCTCATGACCTCTGCCCTGGCTATTCCTCTGCCAGAATGCTCTTCCTCCAGAAATTGTCAGACTTTCTCCCTGACCACCTCCTCTGTTCAGATATTGGTGAGGCCTGTTGCCCTATTTAAAACTGCTGGCGAGCGCTCTTGATCCCCTGTATCTAGTCTAATTATTCTAATTACTTACCATAGCATCTTCTAACAAATTATATACTTTATCTGTCTTCCTTCACTGGAATATAAGATCCATGAGGGCTTTCAATATTTGTTGAATTAATATTTCTTGGGCACTCATTTTCAGTATAGTTATTTTTCCCCCTAGGGCCACATCCTTTGAGGGAAGGCTTGATAAGATCATTGGTCACTGATCAGTGATTTGGATGTATTCAGGATGCTTCCCTTTTATGTGATGACCTTGTTCAACCAATCTGATATTCTGACATTTCTTAATGTTAAACCCTTTATTGTTTTTTTTTTTTTTAACAACGTTGAACACTTTATTTTTTAAAGATTTATTTATTTGGGAGAGAGTGAGAGCACTCACGTGGAAATGGTGGGGAGGGGCGCAGGGAGAGAGAATCCCCAAGCAGACTCCCTGCTGAGCGGGGAGCCTCCTCGGCACTCAGTCCTAGGACTGGAGATTGTGACTTGAGCCAAAATCAAGAGTCAGCCACTTAACCAACTGAGCCACCCAGGTGCCTCCCAAATGTGAACACTTCAAATAAGAGCCATTGCGTTTTATAAGAACCATAATCCTTGGAGGACCTCTTTCCAATGTGACATTCAAACTCAGCTTCCTCATCACATATCTTCTTCAGGATAACATTGTTATCCTGTAGCATATTGACTGACTTCCTATCAAAAATTAAATTAGAGACATGCGATTCAAGCAGCCACTAGATTTAACAAGCTGGAATAGCATAGTGCAATGTTTCTGTATTAGGAAACCATTAATGCCCGTGAGGTTTTCAAAATGAATGACAAGTAAAAGTCAACCTGAAAGGATTATTTTAACTTTTACGAGGCCACACCCCCATTCTTGAGTATAATCATACTTAATTTGTTATAGTTTCTTTCTTTTTTTTTTTTTTTAAGATTTTATTTATTTATTTGTCAGAGAGAGAGGGAGAGAGAGCGAGCACAGGCAGACAGAATGGCAGGCAGAGGCAGAGGGAGAAGCAGGCTCCCTGACGAGCAAGGAGCCCGATGTGGGACTCGATCCCAGGACACTGGGATCATGACCTGAGCCGAAGGCAGCTGCTTAACCAACTGAGCCACCCAGGCGTCCCTTGTTATAGTTTCTTATAGTTCCTCTGTGACCAAATCTCTGAGGCTATCTTGAATCAGCTTTACTTATCAACTCCTCCCAGCTGATAAGCCACTCCCTTTTATATCTTCTTCTTTGGCCTGTGTCTCATGCTTCCAGTATATTCAATGGCCCTTTATTTTTAAAGTTTTGTCAGTTCTGCATCCTGATTGCTTTTTATTAACCTAGTCTCATTTTTTGTGCAAATACTGTTTGCTGGGTAGATTGTGATCTTTGGCCACTCCCATTGTTCCTCCTCATGACCACAAACCTGCTCAGTGGTTGGTGACAAAAAACTCAGTCACCTAGAATTAAGCCACCTTACAATGGAGACCAAAATGGCGTAGTAAACAAATAAAAGAGGCTGGGTCTTTAACTCCAGAAGTGAATATAAAAATGAGGGAAATCATTTTATCTTTCATTTGGTAAACAAGCATAAAATTTAGGTTAGAATCACAATAAAGTGCTAGTTCCAACCTTGAACAAAATTCATTATAATGAACACATCTTGTAATGAAAAGCAAAATGAAAAGACAAAATTCTTACGATAACCAAAAATATTAAAATCATTCAGGTGTGGATTTTTTAAGGGAAGGAACTTTCCAAGACAGTTTTATGATTGTGTGAAGTCCTTGATTTCACATTTGTTTTGTGAAGGGAGATACGAAGAGGCTCATTTTTGCAGAAATATTATATGACTTCACTTTTCCCAATGATCATTCCTAATCTGTGTGTAAGGATATTGATCTTGATTATTGTCTGTTTCTCACAGAGAATATAAGTTTCACGAGGGTAGAGATTTAGGGTATGTTCACTGCTGCATCCCTTGCATTTATGACTGTGCCAGACATGTAGTAGTTGCTTAGTAAATATTGGTTGAATGCTAAGATAGTTTATGCCTGATGGGCCTGCTTTCGTTAAGTGTTCTGTTAATCTTGTCAGGTTCCCTTCAGTTATTAACTGATTCTGCCAGGGCTCACTGTTCATTAACTTGGGCTGCTGTTCCAGCTGTTCTCCAACACCACCTGTCAGCTTCATGAAATTCTGCATGTTTTATGAGATTTGCAGCCTCACTGTGTAGTCTATTTGACTTACATTGTTGGATATTTACATCCTTTGATTATCCATCGTGGTGAATAAAGGAACAACTTTGGAGCAGGTAACTTTGGTTAGAATACAATTCCACCGAGTGCCCTCGCTGTAGAACCTTGGGCATGTTACTTATTTCTGCTTTTCTATGGGTCAGTGATAGCACATCCCTCAGGAATTACTGTGTGAACTCACTTAGAACTCATTCACACCCTGGTGCAAGAACGTAAGTTCTCTGTAAGCATTTGTATTATCAAAGGACCAGTCCACCTTGGTCTGTATAGATGCTAGGCTTAAGTAGGAAAAGATGTTTGGTTGAGGGCTAATTTCATAAGTAATCAGTTTATTTGTGATTATAGCACAAGTTTTCTTTTTAATTTTATTTTTTAAGTAATCTTTACACCCAAAATGGGACTTGAATTCACAACCCCAAGATCAAGAGTTTCATGCTCTATCCACTGAGCCAGCCAGGTGCCCCATAGTAGAAGTTTTCTTAACCAACCTCAGTCAACTTGCTGGGATAACTGCTAACCTCATTCTCTCAAAAATACACTGACTGAAGCTTGTGGTCCCTGACAGCCTCTCCCAGCACTGGCCACTCTGGGCTGCTTGCCGTC